TGTAAAAGTCCCGTTGGCTGCAAGGCATCAATCTTGTTCTGTTGGCAGATTGGGCAAGCTTTCGCAAAGGCCTGGATGTCCTGCCTCATTCCTTCCCAAAACACCAGTTGTGTCAATCTTTTATAAGTTTGAAAATATCCAAAATGACCTCCTGATGGGAAATAATGAAATTCCTGCAGAAGTTGCTGAACTTGGCGGCTAGATTTAGGCAGAACTAGACGATCTTCATAGGATAATAATGGCCAACTAACCTGAAATGTGAGTGACTAGTAGGATCGACAATCAAATCTTGGCAAATCTTCTTCAGCTTGCCATCCTGATGAATGGCCTTTTCCTACTCCTCTTTTTTGGCAAAATAAAATACTGAGATGGCATTACACTCTATTGTCCCATCACGCCTAGATAAGGCATCAACTGCCTTATTTTCTAACCTCGGCTTGTATTGAATCTCATAATCTAACCCAAGCAACTTAATGATCCACTTTTGTTGCTCTTCTTCTTGCAGCCTTTGCTCATTCAAATAGTGAAGGGTGCATTGATTAGTTTTAATTATGAAGTGTCTACCCAACAAGTAATGCCGCCATTTCTAGACAGCTAAAACAACAGCCATCAACTTTTTCTCGTAGACTAATCTTAGCCGAGATCGTGTAGAAAAACCTTGACTAAGAAATGCTAGGGGCTTGCCTTCTTGCATTAGGACAACCCCAATGCCTTGCCCAGAAGCGTCACTCTCGATGATAAAAGTCTTCAAAAAATTTGGGCATCGCTGAGACGGGCATTATGGTCATGACTCGTTTCAACTCCTCGATTGTCTTTTGCGCTAGTTCAGTTCAAACAAAAGCATCTTTGCGAAGAAGGTTGGTTAGAGGCAATGCAATCTTTCCATACCTGTTGACAAACTTCTGATAGTATTCGGCTAGCCCAAGAAACCTACGAGGTGCCTTGACATCTTTCAGAATTGGCTAATTCAGTATACAGTCCACCTTGGAGGGATCAACCGCAATGTCTTAGGTCGAAATGAGGTGGCCTAAACACTCCAATTGAGTTTGCCCAAAGTTGCATTTTTTTTTTTTAATTGACTACTAATTAGTGCCTTAACAATTTCTGAAAGGTGGGCCTCAAGTGATGCAAATATGCTTCCAGGTTAGCGTTATAGATCAAAATATCATTAAAAAAAAAGAATCAAGATAAACTTACGCAAGTAAGGCTTGAATATGTCGTTCATGAGAGCTTGAAAGGTTGACGAAGCATTTGATAACCCGAAGGGCGTTACAAGGAATTTGTAGTGTCTTTCATATGTCCGAAAGGCTGTCTTATAGGTGTCCTCCTCCTTGACTCTTATCTGATGATATCTCAACTTAAGGTCTAATGTCAAAAACATCGTGGCTCCTCCTAATTCATCGAATAATTCGTCTATAGTTGGGATGGGAAATTGTCGGGTATGGTTATCTTGTTAAGTGCCCAATAATCCACACAAAAGTGCCACCCTCCGTCTTTCTTTTTTACCAAGAGTACCAGGCTAGAAAAAAAGGTTGACACTTGGTTTGATAATCCCTAAGGCCATCATCTTCCAAACAGTCTTTTCTATCTCGTTTTTTCTGATAGTATGGGTACTAGTAAGGTTTGACATTAAGGACTGGAGCTCCCTATTCTAGCCTGATGGCATGATCATGCGCCCTTGCCCGCGAGAGTCCTGGTAAGGGTTCAAACAGGGCTTTATGTTCCCTCAACAATTTAGAAATACTACTGTCCACCACTATTTCACCCACTTCATGTAATTGCAGATTTCCAGATTCTAACAAATACCGTGGTCCCTCTGTCTGTAGTGTCTTAATCATCCTCTTCAATGACACCCTTGTCTTACTCAGTGTAGGATCCCCAAACAAAGCTACCATTTCTCTAGACTGATTAAATTTCATCACTGACTTTTTCTAGTTCATTGTGATCTCACCCAAGGTTTCAAGCCATGCAATGCCCAAAATGACGTCGGCGCTGATCATGTTGAAAGGGTAGAAGTTCTGAACCATAGTGATGTTCTACAACTTCAAACACACCTCACGACATTCTCCCAGACAACTCACTCTGTAACCATCCCCAACTCTGACTCCAAAATGTTTGGTTTGGACCACTAGAATTTTTTACTCTTCTACCAATTTTTTATTGATGAAGTTATGAGAGACCCACTATCAATCAATACTACAACACCCTTACCTCCAATTTCACCTATTAGTTTCAAGGTTTTGGGTCCATTTATGCCTTCTACCGAACTGATTGAAAGTTCAATGGTCCTTGGTACTTCTTCCTCAGCCTTGTCTTCCTCCGTGGACAACTCATTCACCTTTGGATCATTGTCTTACACTAACAGCACTTGGATTTGCTTGTCCCCACATCGATGACCTAGTGAGTATATAGTGTCACACCAGTAGCATAAACCCTTCTCCCTTTTTCTTTGGATCTCAACTTGGGTCATCTTTTTGTAAGGGAACTCTCACCGAAATGGGTTTGGCTGAAAGTTGATCAATGAGGATGAGTTGGGACTAGAATGAATCTCGCTTTGACTTTGTCTTAGGGGTGGGTTCGAGGTTAAAGATCGGGTTGATTCATTTGGCGTTTGGGTCCTATTGGTTTCTTCAGGTCGAGTCGAGTAGCTATAGGTTTGTGACCCAATAGATGAATGAGCCCACTTGTTCAACCGGTCTGGTCCAAGTCTAGCCTCATCCACAATTTGGTTTCTCTCTTCCACCCTTTGGGCCAGCTGGGTCACGTGAGTCAGAGAATTGGGCCGACCAATTATATTAGGCTACTGCAGTTTTATTTCAGCTTTAATTTCTAGTTTGAGCCCATTAAAAAACGCAACAGTCAACACTTCTTCTCTTTCTCTGACAGTTAACGCTGCCACCTCCTCAAATCGACAACGATACTCCAGCATCGTGCCATTCTGCTTTGTCGCGATCAACAGCTCCAAGGGACTCACCTCCTAAGTTCCACTAAATCATTGAGAGAGGGCTACCTTGCGAAGTGGTCATCGCCAATCGGGTCTCCATCCATTGGTACCAGTGAAAGGCCTCTCCTTCCATACACAACATTGTCATCGACACTCGGTGCTCATCGCAATTTGGTTGGACGTGAAATAGCGTTCTATCCTGAAATCCACCCATGAGTCTTCGTCGGAAAAGATAGGCAACTACAACTTTCGGCCACTCCAATCACGCCGATACCACCCCTTTCCACCTTGATTGCATCCATCCCTTGTTGGGTTCTCTCCTTGGGTTCCCTGGTTTCTGTGAAGCCCATTTTCTGTTCGACCTCCTCCGTTAGCTCCGCCTTGGTTTCTTAGATTTTCATGGAGTTCTTGCTAGTTGTGACTTTCCCAGCCACAACTCGAGTTCCCAGCTAAGTTTCTTCTACGCTCCTCCTCTTCTTCATCCTTTTTACGCACCCAATTCTGTATATCCATCAATATCTCCCTCATTACATTCACCGTCTCAATCACCTTAGCAACATCTTTCTCAACGTTGTCTAATCTATTTTCCATCCTTGTACCAACCATACCCTAAAATCTTCTAGCTCTGATACCAGTTTATTGGAACCTGACTCTAATTCTTTAGTCAATTCTCACGCTCAGTCCACCACAACAACCAGCAAGCTTCAAATAAACATCCAACACACAGTATGCAATCAAATAAAGCTGATATTTGTATTAAGAGAATAATAGAATTGAATTACAAATAGAAAAGAAACATTAAATAAGCAGATAATAGGCTGATCTTCTGGGGTCGGCTCCTCCTATACAATTCTCCACTAAATTCCTTGATAGCATACTTATCCAACCTCCTCTCTTTTATTCTAGGTTCCTACTCTAACTAACTCATCACACTCGTTGTACTGATGTGCCACCTGTCAATCCTTGCCCTTTCCTTTATGCCCTTTTCTGTTGTACCATTTAGTTATCGGGGGTCGATCAAAATATTTATCAAATTATCTTCCTGTCATTTATTTTAATACCTAACTTGATAATAAAGAAATTTTTATTATTTCAAAAACCTCAAAAAAAAAAAATTTATTATTTAATCAAAAGCTGAGGTGGAATCGATTGCAATCATGTATCCAAACTCCATAGGTTAAGGAATTGTTCTCTGACCTTCAGCTTCATGTTAAGAAGCATTCATAGTAGGTCCTGCATTTTATCCATCAAGTCTATTTATTCACTATTCAACTAGGTTCTTCATTTTGTGATGGATTAATAAGTAGTCCCACGGGCTTCAGAGCTCAAAGCTAGCCCAAAACTTGGTTTTAAAAATCATAATAAGGATTAGACATGGGCAAGGACCGATCCCAATCGGGTCCAGGTTTGGGCCCGATTGGGACTGGTCCCATTTAGGACTAGTCACTCATAGGTCTGGGACCCCATGAGAAATTTCAAGGCCCGGACCAGTCCCATGGGCCTGGAAAATTTTCTTTCACCCCCCAACTTTTTTTTCTATTTGGGTTAAATAAAATTATGTAGGGGGGGGTTAATATAATTTTTAGGGGCCTAGAAATTTTTTCGCACCCGGAGATTAGTAAATTTTGTAAAATATCAATTTAACCTTTAATATTTTGTCAATTTCAAAATTATAGGGGGTTTTTGGATATTTTTTTGAAGACTTTTTTGAAAAAATTCCAAGGGGTTGTCCCAGGCCCGGGCCTTGGAGGAGGGCCCAATCTAGGGACCGGTCCCTCCTCCATGGGCCTGGTCCGGGTTTGGGACCAGGCTCGTAGGACCGATCCCAAATGCCCAAGTCTAAATTAAGGATAAAGAAAACGAAAAGGCAATCACATTTCTACATAGAAATCATTACAAGTTTTGTAGGCTTGAAAAAAGAGTACATCCTTTTTACCCCTTTTTTCAATCTTCCATCATTTCTTATCAACTAAAAAGAGAAAAATGGTGTCCCCTCTAATCTTTTAGTCATGGAAATTGCTGATATTGACCTTCACATGACTGCAGGCTGCTAATCTTTTACAAAACAAACAGTATATACACTATCACTTATTTCACCAGGCTAATATCTTTACAACCTCAGTGTACAAACAATTTGGAAGTTTATCAGTTATATTATACAGGAAATACACACTTGAACAAAAACAGAAGACAAGACAGGAATAAAACATAATATGTAAGGCAATACAAAAGCTACATCACTCACTTAACCAAAAAAAAAAAAAAAAAAGCTACATCAGTCATCGGATAACTTATCAGGACTTCAACCGAATTTGATTAACCATAATCATATATTACTTAAACATTTCCCAGAGCTTTCTTTATGTCAGCCTGCATCAAAAAACCAAAAGCAAAAAGGAAGGCCAACATGAGTTATTTGAAAACCACGAAACGTGAGACAAATGTATTGATGTGAAGCACTCATGATGGAGACACACAGTACCTCAATTGCCATGGGAGGAGTTGTTGTGCCATAGCGACCAATGACATGCCCTTCCTTATCAACCAAAAACTTGGTAAAGTTCCACTTTATCCTGGACCCAAAGAATCCAGAAGAATTTGCTTTGAGAAATTTGTAGACAGGTGCAGTAGTTGGACCATTGACACGTACCTAAATATAAGATGATAGAGCATCAGTTATCAATTACAATTAGCACTGAACGTCATCAACTAACTTCTGCAATCAAGGCCAGAATATCCAAAAAGACACAAACACCAGCTCAACTTTCAAAGAAAAAACATGGTGATGTGAGAAACCATCGACATATTTGAAACTACATAAACTGATAAAACATAGTGAAAGATCTATAATAACAACCAATTTAATAATGTTCGACTTTGAATGAGTATTCTTCACTATAGGTGAACATCAACCAGAAAGAATTAAGTTGAAGAGACATGTCTGATTTTCTGGATTTAACCACAAAATTAATCATTAAAAACCGTGAAAGAAAACCGTAAAGGAAAACCATAAAGCCGAACCATTAACTAGAATAAATTTGTGACACATTAGACAGCATCAATGCCAAACAAATTTAGAAACTGAAATTCATACCTAATTCTTAATATGTTAGGCATTATGTTTCAAGCAGGTTATTGAGGTGATTTTGCATAAGAGAAAAGCCTCAATATCTGAGCCAAAGCTACATGAGATGGATCATATTCTTTTCATACCCATTATGCCTATTCTTCTATCTATTACAATTGTGATTGTTTCTAAAGTCCAAGAGTTTCTTTTTATTTTTTCCATTTTCTGTTGGACTTGAAGATGTCATTGCACACTTTAAACGACACAAAATTTACAAACACTACCAAGTTTAAATTATTCACATCGAGCACCAGGAGGAGTTAACACTTATAACTGTTAGCATAATACAGTAGTAGCAAAGACAATGGTTCACAATGAAAACTAAACCAACCTCTCCATGCAAAGAGTTTCCGTAATTAGATCATTCACATTTAGCAAATACACTAAGATACCACTTCCAAAAAGGCTAAATTGACTCAGTTTAGTAAAGGCAACACCGAGAAAAAAAATGCCATGATAATGATACAGATAAATTACCAATCTTCATAATAACAAATTTACCTTTTGAAAAATTGGATATTCAGCCTTGTATCTTGTACACGCAAATTCTTGAGCCTCCTCGCTCGACCCAGGCTCCTGCTTCAAAAATTGGTTGCACGGAAATGCCAAGACTTCAAAACCTGAAATCATCCAATAAAATTTAAATTCTCAAGTCCCTGAAAAAAGAACATTTATACAAAAATCAGAAAAGAAACATATATTTGCAACATATAAACACCTAAATTTTGTGTTGATGAGTACGACATCAAAGCAGAGATACTCTTGTACAATTTTTTAACATAGAAGAAATTTAAAAAAAAAATTAATTGTATATATATGTAACGTACTATTTCATGCATGAGTTTTCCTTCAAGTAGGCCAAAGAAAAAACCCAGATAAACAAAACAAAACAAAATTTACAGTAGCACATCCACTGATAGGTGACAATAAGCAAAATAACTAATCTGGTTTTATCACAAATAAAGAAAGTAAAATAGAATTTTGCACTTGAAACATGTAACATTAAAAGATATAAGAAGAAAAAAAAGAAGGAACCTTTATCCTTGTATTTGTTATAGAGATCAGTCAACTGGGTGTAATTCGAATCCGTAAAGCCACTGTTCGAAACGGCAAAAAGAAGAGTAAAAAAAAAAGCAGAAATCGAGCCCGAAACCAGAAGCAGACAAAAAGAAGAGAGGGGAAAAAGAATACCATTTGGAGGCAACGTTGACAACAAGAAGGACCTTCCCTTTGTAAATGCTGAGGTCCACGTCTTTGCCTCTGCTATCCTGTTCAAAACCCAAATGATTCAACACAAAGAAATGATAATGGTACAGTAAAGAAACAGAGAATTGAAGCAAAAACATAACCAAAAAGAAAACCTTGACAGTGAACTCGTGGATTGATTTCTGTGGAACTGAAGGAGAAGCCCCCATCTGGGTATCAGATGCAACTATTTTTTAGCTTCTTCGCTTTCGTTTCCTCTTCTATCTTTTGGAGGTTCAACGTTTATGGCTTTATGCAACAGGCATTTGATTTTCTTATTAATTTATTACTTTTTTTTTTTCTTNAAAAGCATTAACTTTTCCCCCCAAAAGCAGAAGCCAGAAGCTCAGGCTTTTTTCTTCATTGGAAAAGCACTTGCTCCTGCCAATGCCCCATGCCTTTGCACCATCTTTAAAAAGTGCTTCTACACTGGCTTCCACAAGCAACAAACAGAAAAAAAAAAAAAAAAAAAAAAATGTATTGTGTGAATTTGGAGTTAATCGCATTTATCCCCTTATATGGTTTAGGTTTATTAGTTAAAATCATGCAGTTTAAAGTACGTTAAAGAGCAATAATAGATATTGTTGTGCGGTAAATCCCTGAAGCATGGATTCACGTCGCATGTCATTCTTTTTAGGTTAATTTTATTTATAAGTTTGTCATTCTAATAGTATATAAGCAAGCTTTTTACTCAAATTAGGGATCAGATTTCATTCATATTTTGTAAATGTTACTTGTGCACAGTAAAAACAAAAAAAAACAATACAAAAACAGTGGACATAGGATTTGCGTCAAACATCCGAACCACTTTAAAAATATTTTCTTTGTGTTATTGTTCATCCATTGATTCACCATCGAAATCATGAGTTTTCTATAAATGTAGATCCTACTACGAATCCTATGTACTTCTTCGTTGGTGCAAATGCCAACATTAACAGGTAGTTAAAGGCAGAATCTAGGTTTTTGAAATTGGGACAATATCAAAATGAGGGGTATTTTGGTTTTTAAATAAAAAATCCTGCCAACTTTTAAAAAATGAGAAAACTTTATAAGTTAAAGTTTTTAATACCAAAATCTTAACTGAAATGTTGTCCATTAGTAGTTTTATATCTTAAAAAAACTAGGTGGAAATCTTTAAAAATTAAAAAAAAAAAAAAAAATTAGAAGATTCACACCAAAGATTTTCACATAATAATAATAATAATAATCTTAAGCTAAGTAATTATATATTATGATAAGTTGATATAATCGACTAATTAATATTTTATTATATTATGAAATTAAGGATAAAATTTAATACTTGTAATTGAAGAAGATGACTTCAAATTGAATGAGTTGGCCTATTCTAGAGAAATTCAACCATTTCATTAAATAATTATACAGAGTAAATAACTATTTCCCAAACCAAGGTTTGCCTTCATGACATTTCGCACCTAAAAAGTTTAAAATACCACATTTTCACCCAAAGTTAATGTTCCTTTACTACCCAAAGCCGATTCTGGCCTATTATGGCCGCGAAAATTCTCTCTTTCACAACCACTTCAACCTCCAATCTCCTCTCTACAAAACTTTTTTCACTCTGGTACTTAATTTCTTATCGATTGTCGATTATCACAAAGCTAAGTTTTCATGTTCTTAAATAATTTCTGATTGATTTTTACGTCGAATATTCAGATGGTCACCACCATTTGATCCACCGGTCTCCACTCTATAAAACTCCTTTTACTCTAACTCCTGATAACTCGTCGAACATCGATTGAGAAAGTGAAGTGTATTTTGGGTATCAATGGAATATAAACTTTGGGTGAAAAAATAGTATTTTGAAACTTTTTGGATGAGAAAGTGTCATCAAGGAAAACCTTGGGTAGGAAAAAGTCGTTCTATTCATACATTATTTTCTAGTGTGAATCACAGTAACGAAAGAAAATGGGGTTGGCACCGAATTTATAGATATTTAGGTTTATAATATTATCTTTTGAGAATTAAGTCCTTTTAATTAATTAATTAATTATTATTATTATTACATTTTGTTCTTTTAAATTAATTTTTTTTGCCTTCCTCTTTAACTATTTATATAATTAAAATAAAAATGAAGAAATAAAAATGGATTTCTTGCCAGAAGGGCAAGCTTAAGTTTTAAAACCCTCTTAATTAAAGCACTTAATTAAAAAGTTGATTATGGGGAAATTAATTAATTAATTAATTTGATGCGAAAGAATGAGTTGAATTTTGAGAAAGTATTAAATGAGATGATTAGAGATTGAAGCTATTCCCACTTTAATTAATTAATTAAAAGTATTAATTAAATAAATGAGTTNTTACATTTTGTTCTTTTAAATTAATTTTTTTTTGCCTCCCTCTTTAACTATTTATATAATTAAAATAAAAATGAAGAAAAAAAAATGGATTTCTTGCCAGAAGGGCAAGCTTAAGTTTTAAAACCCTCTTAATTAAAGCACTTAATTAAAAAGTTGATTATGGGGAAATTAATTAATTAATTAATTTGATGCGAAAGAATGAGTTGAATTTTGAGAAAGTATTAAATGAGATGATTAGAGATTGAAGCTATTCCCACTTTAATTAATTAATTAAAAGTATTAATTAAATAAATGAACCAACCAGGGCAGAATCTGAGTTTGAATGTTTAAAAAATAAGAACTATTAAAAAAGTCAATTTTATAATTAATAAAAGAGTAAATCACCTTTCCCCACCCAAATAATAGTTTGACACTTTCTTATCCAAAAATTTTCAAAATACAATTTTACTACCCACAGGCCATAACACAATTCTGTTAATAAATTTCGTTATGAAAAAGAGCAAGATGGTCAAAAGGTTGATATACGTAAGGGTAAGATGGTTAATTAACATTATACATAAAAAAAAAAAAAAATCAAAGAGTTGGCATAAAAATAAAATCAATTTTATAATTATATGTTTATTTATTTTCCAAGATTTTGTATAAAAAATAAAATCATATCTTCACCAATTTTTTTTTCTTATTTCTTTTTTAATTTCAAACTAAATCTCCTTCTCTTATATTTGCTTAACATCAAGACATTTATTTTATTAATTTTTTAAACATATTTTTTTAAATTATTTAAAAATTTTATTTTCAGCTTAGAATTTATATGATACAATTAAAAGAGAGAGAGAGAGAGAATCTTAACTTAATTATTCAAAAGTATATAATATAGAAAATATATTTAATGGATTATTATTTTTTCCTCTAAAAATAGTAATATTCTATAAATATTAAAGTTGTAGCTTTCCATAAAGTCACCAAAAAAAAAAAAAATGTAATTGTTACAAATTAATCAATGAAAACCACAAGAAATAAGATCATGTTCAAAATTAAAAGAATTATATTTATTTCCCCAATTAGTTTTGAGGCCAAATAGAATATTAAAAGAAAAACTATATTTATTTCCTAATAATGACAAATTATTATTGAACACTTAATTTCTAGAAACCAGATTTGGAAAACAACATTTCATCTAAAATGTCACATTTAATATAAAATTGATTAATTTTCATAAATTTATTTCTCTTCAATAATTAAAATAGATTATTTATTTTGTTTATATTATTACTTATATTTAATGTGAATTTAATAAAAAATTAAAATTTTAACCACTAAACTTATTAACCACATAATCATAATTAAAATGTATTTTTATTTAAAAAAAAAACATATGAAAATGCAGTATTCTTAAGGTATTGTTTTATTCTTATAGAAGTTTCCAAAAATAATGTTAAAAATTTAATAATTCTCTATTAAAATAACCTTGGGTTTCTCATTGACATATAAATTAAAAACTAAAATATCAACTCAGAAAGATTCTCTTACTTTAAAATAATAAATAAATTTTAAATTACTCCAAAAATATATTTCAAATATTACTAAACGAAATTATATATTTATTGTATAAGTGCATTTTACAAATTTTTACGTTTTTGGTTTATAAATTATGAGTTTATAAATTTTACGTCGATGAAAACACTATAAGATGATAAAGTAGTAACATTATTAAATTGGTTCGAAAAATAATATTACAAGTTTCATGTTATAATTTTACAAACTTTATGTGAATATAATTTTTACATCATGATAATATCTTTAAGTCAAATAATGTTTTTCATTTACGAGTTTTATGTTATAAGTTTATAAATTTTACGTTGATATATTGTTTGTAATATTACCAAGTCGATAACTTTATTGGATTGGTTCGGAAAATAATAATATTAAGGTAAAACAAATAAATAAAATAATTTTCTATAAAATTCGGAAGGAATTTTGGATGGGCTCCCAATCCATCCCACAGTCCTCTCAAACGTTTTTTCCTCTCTCTTTCAACGCCAAATAATCTGCAAGAAACGCGGTGGAGCATAGGAAAGTTCCCCCACAACCAGACTTCAAATAACACCAACAGTTGCTTGCACGATCTCTCAAGCAGACAAAAACAATCCAAATTACACAAACAACAAGACCAAGAATATAAAAAAGAAGAAACAATTCATTTTCTTTTTCCTTAGCTTTCTGGTTAAGCACAACACTTGCAACAAAAGGTAATTCTATTATAGCCCTTTTGCTTTTTCCTCCAAATGCTTTGTGGGTTTCTTTTATCTCCTCGTTTTCTCAAATGGGTCGGTTCCAAAATTGATTTTTTTTTTGTTTGTTTTGGGTTTGGCTAAAAATATGAGCTTGTTTCTTTTCCGTTTTTGTATCTGGTTTTTATTTTAGCTTTACCTGTTTTTTATTTATGGTTCTTTCAGTTTAAGTTTGATGTTTAGAGTGGGGTTGCTTAGCTTGCACGCTTGTTTAGTAATCTGTTTACAATTTTCGGGAGATGGTTTGGTTTGGATGATATCAAGATATTGTTGAATAAATTTAGACTTGTGACATTTATTATATATACTTTCAATAATTTTGATAAGTGTAGTACAGTTGTGAAGTTATAGGTCTGTTATTAACTTGTTTCCAATTAGTTTCTGGGTTGTTTTTTGTTTGGTAAATTGGAGATTGGATTGCTTGTGTTCTGCTCACACTGCTTTTTTGCTTTCTTTCATGCAATTTGGGGTACTTGTTTTTCTTTTGTGGGTCTAATATCTGCGATTTTTTTTTATTTTTTTTTGTGACTTGAAAAGTTTTCGCTGTTATATTTTTGATTGAATGAGTGGAGCTGGTAAATTTTTAGAAGTTCAAGTTTATGATAGACTCGGAAGTTATAATGGAGTTTCTTAATTTCTTTCTGGAAGTAAAGGTTGATTTGTTGTGTTTTCTGGAATATTTCTTGTGTGCAAATGTGGAGTGCATAAAAGTCTACCATTTTGAGTTAATGCTTCAAGCCTGTATAAGAAAAGAAAAGAATTTATTCTGTTATTAATTGATCTAATAGATTTGGATGCTTTTTCCTTTTACCTTTAGTTAAATATCTGCTTTTCTATTTGTTATTGTGGAGATCATTCGGTTTCCTCATTCATCTGTGCCAAATTTAATGAAGCTAAGAGTTGAAGACATCTTTTTGTCATTGGTGTTCTTTAATTGTTAATGCTTTCTAAGGATATATGTTTTTTTTTCTTCTGAAAGTTGATTGTGAACATGAGTTTTTACTGATTTTAAGAAGCATGTTTGATGTTATTTATTGTTATTGTTTTTCAGGTTGAAGATTTTTTGAAATTTGCTCTAGTTATTATTTTTTCTTGATTCACTGTATCGTTGGAATAGATTGCGGTGAGTTGGCTACTTGCTAGATTGTTGTCTGCTTAATCTACCGTCGATTTGACTACCATAAATATTAATAATTACTTTTTGAGGTTGTCTATTCTGAACCTTTTTGGTTCCCTTTATCTTGTACCTAGTTGATGGCCAAGGAGAGTGGCAATTTACTGGTAACTCCAGAAGGGACCAAATCTGATGGAGGTACTTCAGGGAGAAAATCTGTTGGAAATGCAAGTTCTTCCGAAAGTGGAGAGAAGGTTCTTCCTCATTATCTCAGAGCCTCTACTGGTTCTTGTCACGACTTTTGCAAGTATGGCAAGAAGCATGCATTTGAAGCTAAGGGAAGACCTTGCATAGCAAAAAGTAATAGGAAACCATCAATTGACAACCAAAGTCCAACGGCAAGCATGATATTGCCAGAGAGGAAAAAGACATTGGTGGCAAGACCCAAATCGTCTCCCATTCCAAAAACCTATTCATCTGACATACCTGAGATCATCAAGCATGAAGTATCTCCAAAATCATTGAATGTCCGAAATGTGCTTAATACGTCAGTGGATAGCTGTAATCCAGTTAAGGGTGAAGTTCTGTCTGGGATAAAGAGGACATCAGCATCCAAGCTCAGACCTTCACCCACTTCTAAATCCCGTCTGTCTGAATCCCCAAAATTCAATAGGCAGGAACTGTCCGCTTTGGCAAAGACAGAGGAGTCTTCGATACCAATTAAATCTAAATCTAAAGAAAAAAATGCAGCTTCAAAGCATGCCTCTTCTTTGAAGGCGAAATCTCTGGTGCAGAAGCCATTATCATCTCCCGATATTTCAGGAGGTTTAAGTGGCAGAAGAAACAGTGACATCAAGACAGGCCCCCCTAAAGTAGCTGTCAAGAAAATGATAGCTTCCCCTAGACTTTCACTGGCATCCCCAAGGGCATCATTGTCTCCTAAGCCTTCTATCAGTAGAGTTGCAAAGAAAGTAATGGCTTCCCCAAGAGTTTCGCAGGCATCTCCAAGGACATAGTTTGTTCTAAGCCTTCTATCAGTAGAGGTGCAAAGAAAGTAATGGCTTCCCCAGAGTTTCACAGGCATCTCCAGGGCACGTTGTCTCCTAACCTTCTATCAGTAGAGTTGCAAAGAAAGTATTGGTTTCCCAAGAGTTTCTCTGGCATCCCAAGGATCATTGTCTCCTAGACCTTCCTCAATAGAGTTGCAAGCCTAAATTCCAGAAGCATAAGAGCTTGAAAGTTGTGTCTCTATGAAGGATCAGGGCCAGACTAAAACAGATGAACCGAAGGAATCCACGGTTGAGCTTAAGCACACTAACGATGATTTGGTCCAGGAAAAAACCCTGTATGTTATCAAGATGGAAATGAAACAGATCTTTGGAATGTGTCAAAACGAAAGCTGTGTTGTCGAACCAGCTCCGCTCCATCATGCTCGTTAGCCGAATCCTTCCAGCTTCTTCATCATCATCATACATAATGAAGAACAGCAAGAGATATCAGAGTATACAGAGACTGGAACAGAAGACGACTTTCTTTCTGAATCTGATGAAACCTTCAGCACGGAAGAAGAAGAAGAAACTATGGAGAAGAACACCGAGGAGGTTAGAAAGGGATGATGGTTTACTCTGAGGAAAAAGGTTCCAGGCAATGAAATTACATTTTAGGAAGGGAAAGGTGGTTACATTCAGTCTGACACAATGGTCCAAGAAGGCTCAAGTTCGGAGAGGAAGAGTGCTTGGAGAGAAGCCAAATCTCAAGGGTGATGGCAGAAGAAGCTTTAAGAAGAGAGGAACTGATGGTGTGGTGATTGACAGCAAATCCAGTTCCCAAAAGGTTTTTGAGACATCAAGATGTTCAGGGAAAAAGAAGGACCAAAACCTGTTAATAACGTCATTGAACAAACAGCAAGTAAACTTGCTGAAATCCGAGGAAAAGTAAGGTTAAGGCCTTGGTTGGTGCTTTGAAACAGTTACTTCCCTCAAAGATACCAAACCTTCGGCAAACACTGTCGCCTGACTTGGAGTACATCGTTTATTAACAGTTCTTAGTTTTTTCAAAATATGGTAGTGAATAAACCTAAGCTTTTGCGTGAAGAAGTGAAGTTCACAAGCTATGTAGTTGCAGAAGTGTTAAAGTAGATTGCTTCGGTGGACTCCAGAGAACCCAGATACTGAGCGAATGTCCGAATCCTTTGTGTACTGAATGACTTGCTTTCAATACATTTTCTGGAGGGTATGCTTCATTTCCCTCTTTGAATCCCATACCCAATGTGATTGTTAATATACAGTTAATAAAAAAATTACTCAGACTTCCATGTACCTTTAAGTGTGGAAAGGGAAGCTTCTTGACTGTAAAATTGGCTGGTTATGTGTGCTTTCTTAGATTTTAATTTTTTTTACTTTTCTCTCATTCAATGTTGTGGTTTTTTTTTGTTCTTGATTGAATAATACTTTTGTTATTTCAATTCTTTGTAGCATACTTTAAAATGATCATATAACACCTATAAGTGTTTGGCCGGATACTCGGCTTGTGTTTTGCTCCCACAAGGTTTGAGTTTTGAGCCCTCTCATGGACACTTGTATAGCAAAAGGGCGTTATTTCTCGTTTCTCAAAGATACAAGTAGAGGTGGAACAATGGGTCGGGTTAGACGGGTCAACCCAAACCCAAAGTCTTATAATCGGGCGGGTTGAACCAACCACATGCAAACCTGGGCGGGTTCGGGTTACTATATGGCAACCGTTGGGTTGGGGGTTGCTATTGGCTATGGTAAAAAAAAATAAAAATAAAAAAATTTATTTTTTTCAAGTTTCCCTATTTTAATTTTTTTTAATTAAACTATTGATCAAACTCTTACAAATAATTTACACAATAATATTAAACTATACTTCTAAATCATATATTAAAATGTATAAAACTTCGTAATCATATAATTGGTGATTTGACACATGTTATTATTATTTATAATAAATTATTTATTAGATAATCCAAATAATTAATTATTTATATAAATTTTTAAATACTTAGCACTAAAATATATTTAATTAAAAAATCAAACATTTTTTAAGACTAAGTCCTAATACGGCCCATTATAAAACGACTTATTAACAAATTGACCATTGATGACCAAACCGATAAGAGTAATAGGACATATACAATATTCTCATACAATATTTTCATATAGATTATGGGACAAAGAGTGATTGGTGAAGTTAATTTAAATTTAATCATTCAATTTATTGTATATATAGTATATAAAAATTTTATGTGTAAACACCCCCAATTAGTGTTTTGTAAATTGTAACTAGTAATTATTGTCAATATTGTACTCTTTTTTCTTTACTAAGTTTTTTCCTATTGGGTTTTTTCTTGGGAGGTTTTTAACGAGGCCAAAATTATTGTAATTTCTTATTTTACTTTTTGATAATGAATAAACTAATTTTCTTATATTATAATTTTATGTAATTAAAAGTGAATTAATCTTTGAAAGTTAATAAAAAAAAATTAATGAATTATTGATATTTAAAAGTTAGCTAAAAACAATTACATTTATAATTTATTCATTTATAAATTGTAATTATTTATTTGAAAAGTAATTAATAAAAAAAAAGGGATAACCGGCCCTGCGTGCAGACTAACCCGGCGGGTTAGGGTGGCGGGCCGAGAGGGCTAACTATTCCCCTAAAAAAGGTGGGCCTAACTCGGGCCTGCTTTGTGGCAGGAGGTTAGGATCGACTGCCAAAAGTGTAACCAGCTGTGGGCCAGGCTGGACGGGTCACTTCTAGTTCTAATTACAAGGTTCAAGAGGGCCTCTAGTTTAAAACTTGGGCTTTGGCCAGTTTTCCGTTTCCTAAAATATAGGATTCGATGGAGTTCTAGTTTCGAAGTCGGCACACAATTGAGACTAAGAGGACCTACCAAACCTAGTTTACCACTTGCTTGCACTTTTAAATTTCTGGATTGTTTAGATTGACCACCAATGGAAGAGTAAGGATTTTGCAATCACGTTTTTAGTCCATCATTTCCTTCCAATTCAACCAATTCATGCTCACTTGATAACTCCACTTCACCTGCCCACTCTTCATCCAAAACAAACACAACAAAAAGAGCCCTAGATTTTCCTCAGACATCATGTTAACATTTCATCTTTATGAACCTGTCTGCTTTGATGTTATCCTGGTTTTTAAGAAGAGTAATGCTACGTTACCGAAAGATGTGCACAGAATTCGACTACCCAATGATGTGACGTAATCTAACCGTCGATTATTATGAATTAATATTAATCGACAGTCACGGATTGCGTCATGCATTCGGTGATACATCCTTCGTAACTGTATTATTTTCCTTTTAAGAATACTTGTCTCAAATACTCAACTCCTTTTAAAAAATTTTGTATTGTATCATAAAAACACAATAAATCTGTTTTAGATGTCAACTAATAATATTAATTGATGACATTTGTAGTGCAAAGAGATAGAAATTTTATTATAAATAAAAAAATATTTTGATTATATTTAAGATCATATTTAAAATTATTCTATAATAAGAAATTTGTTAGTGTATCCTTGGATGACAAATCACTTTGGATCATAATCCAAAAAAATGTGTTGTAAGTAAAAATATCCCATTGAGTGATTATATTTTGGCGCTAAAAATTATCAACAAATTTAGCAATTATTAATTACAAAAATCTATAAATTTAAAAAATGTAAGTACTATACGCTTACAACCCCAATCTCACAACCTTCTCTTACAACCCCAATATGGTAGCTGATTTGACAATGTCACGTTATCTCTAGAGGTTGTTAAAAAAATGCAAAAATTGAACCGAACATGAAACAATGTTAACCCGAAAAAGCGTTTAGTTCGGTTTGAAAAATTCAAAAAACCAAATGTCCGATTGGGAGGAAAAATAAAAACGGTTAATCAAAACCGGTTTTGTGACCGGATGTATATATATTAAATAAAAATTATATATTAAATAAAAAATAATATATCAGATAAATTTAATATTTTTTTTTAAATGTTTGTTAGTAGTGTCATAATAGATATGTTGAATGTTTAATTTTATTAGGATATTGTATTATTTATATTTATAATTTAATTTAGGAAAAATAAAAAATAAAGTTTGATTAAAAGAAGGGAAAACCGATTATCCCTTTTTTTTTTTTAAACCGGTTTTCCCCTCCAAATCAGTTTGGGAATTTTTCGAACCAAAAACCAGTTCGGGTTAATGTTTTAAACACCCTAGTTACCTCTAATCACACTTAAGACAATAAATAACTTTGACTAACAAGAACGGTCATTTCTTAGATGTGATAGTGTCAACTCAGCTATCACGTTAGAGTGAAGAGAAGGTTGTGAGATTGAGATATAAATATAGTATTTTTTAAATATAATCCAATCTTTTTCTATAAATAAATTTATCATATAATTAAATTTTATATATACTAATATTTAAATAATTAATATTAATATTATAAAGTGTAAGGTGAGGCGTGCATCCTCGAGGAAAAATGCAAACAGGAAATGACAATCTGCAACGTTACAAACAGAAATCTCAAATAAGGAAAAAATTCCAAAAATTCAGGGTTTGGACACGTGGACAAATACGAGGGTTTAAGATCTTTTGTGGACATGAAAGCATTACCCTTTCATCATACCGACACGGCAACAGTAAAACTGTAGATGACAGTCAAATACGTTGCCGTATTTTCAAAAGGAACCTCCAATCAGATCGCTGACAGAAAGACAAAGTGGATCCCACTTGCCGCCTATGCACCGCCACGTAATCGTCTACGTGCTCATCAGTCCACGTGACGTCCTCTCATTGTCGTTCCTTCGATTAAAAAACTGACCTGTCAACATATCTTGTCCTTCAAATATTTACATTTTCTTCTTCTATATGGAACCCAAAGCCCCTTCTCTCGCTCTATCACACTGCAATTTCTCGCTTTTTTCTTTCTTCCTCTGTAAATATAAATTCGTTTTGACTATATTTGCCCTTGTGGGAGTGGAAATTTACAACTTTTCTTTGTTGTGAGTTGG